AATAACAATAAATAAAATTAATCTTTAAAAAACTAATTAAAATAACTATGATTAATATTTTAAGGACTCCAATGGAAAAAGTAAACAATATGCAAGAAAAGATGGGTAATGCAAACAGAGAGATGGAAACTCCAGAAAAGAACCAAATGGAAGTAACAGAAATCAAAAACACTGTTAACAGTCAATAGGCTTGTGATAGGGAAATATAAACTTCCCAAACCAAAACACAGAGAAAACAAATGAAAAGACAACCTAAGAATTGCAGGGTAATTGCACAAGGTGTAATCGACATATAATTGTAATACTGGACAAAGAAGAGAGCGCAGGGAAGAAATTCTGAAGTAATAAGGGCCAAGAACTTCCCAACTTATGACAGACACCAAATCACAGATCCAGGAAGCTCAGAGAGCATCAAGGGGAACCATACCTAGGCATGTTGTATTCAAATGACAGAAAGCCAAAAAGAAAATCTGGGGGCCCGCAGATGGCATGGTGGTTAAGGTGCTAAACTCCCATATGACTGACTGTGGTTTGAGTCCTGGACTTGATGGCTTGCTTTTTCACTTTCTTATTACCCTCTATATATCTATCTCTCTGTCTTTCTGTGTGTGTGTGTCTCTCTCTGGGAGAGTGCATGCCTTATAGCAAATTTTAAAATAATAATCATAATATAGGAAAAGCAGGTGGCATGGTAATTGGGGCACTGGACTTCCATGTATCTAACTGTGGTGTAAGTCCTGGACTGGGCAGCTTGAAACTCATGCTGCGCATGTGTACATGGGTGCCCAAAATACCAAGAAGAGAATGGAGGAGAAGGATTGCAGCATGGCCATCCCCACAGGGGTATGATTTCTCTCTTTCTGTTTCTGTCTCTCTGGCTAATGTAAGTGCCCAATGGCAAAAATATCTCTCAAAAATAATAATGATAATAATTAATAAAGTTAAAAAATAATTCTTAGGGACCAGCAGTTGGTGTAATGGCTATATCACTGGACTCCCATGTAGTTGACTGTGGTTCGAGTCCCGGACCGGTGGCTTAAACTCACACCAGGTGTGTGTGTGTGTGTGTGCGTGCCCAAGATCCCGAGAGGAGAATGGAGGAGAAGGGATTGCAGTGTGGCTATCCCCCGTGGGAGGTGATTTCTCGCTTTCTGTCTGTCTGTCTTTCTGGCGAGCACAAGTGCC